TGTGTGTGTGTGTGTGTGTGTGTGTGTGTGTGTGTGTGTGTGTGTGTGTGTGTGTGTGTGTGTGTGTGTGTGTGTGTGTGTGTGCGTAGTGTGTGTGTGTGTGTGTGTGTGTGTGTGTGTGTGTGTGTCGTGTGTGTGTGTGTGTGTGTGTGTGTGTGTGTGTGTGTGTGTGTGTGTGTGTGTGTGTGTGTGTGTGTGTGTGTGTGTGTGTGTATGTGTGTGTGTATGTATGTCCGTACGTGCGTGCGTGTACGTGTGTGTGCGCGTGAGTTGTGTTTGTCTTCTCTTCTCTCTCTCACTGTCAGTATGGGTCTGCATGTCTGTGATTTCATGTCTTCTAGTCGCTGTCTGCCGTCAGTATATACATGGACTTCTATAAGCACTGAACAATTCATCCGTGTTTTGCACAATGGATATTTCTTGATATCATTTATTGACTTGAGTTATATGACTGTTGTTAGCGTCCGTCGGGACCAGGAGTGCCGGGTTACCCCGCGCTGATAAACTATATCAATTTTAGTTGTTGAAGTCGCGCTGTTAAAATGCCGTAAGGTACAGGCTCGACATTTACCATTGGCTAGGGTGGTTCGTCTGTACATGGGTATAGGTTGGTATGGTGGTAGCTTGGTTAGGTTGAGCACATGGGGCATGCAGGTACAGTGACACTGATTTAGTTATAACCAACTAATCGCGGCAAACTGCTCGACATTATTATTATTCAGGCGGGTAGGGTAGGTATCGTTACCCACGTTGGGTTGGTACAGCGGGTAATCATTTAGACATAAAATTCAGACATGAACAGCATGATGACGGAGCAGCATGATTTAAAGTGTCGCATTCAATTGCTGTTAGTATAAATGTTACACATTCTGCCCGACCCGTTTACTCTTATTATCTTACCGTTTACTCTTTACCTTACCGTTATTATCTTACCGTTTACTCTTTTATCTTCTCTATATTACATCTAACACATTTACTTATTTATTTATTTATTTATTTAGCTAGTGAGTTATTTATTTATTTATTTATTTATGCTTCATAATATTTCAGTTAATAATAGTATTAAATATTTCATATTTCTTAGTTTCATATGTCACTTTTATATTTATTTATTTATTTATTTGTTTATATATTTATTTATTATATTAATCTATTGCTCTATTAATCATATCTGTATCATTGCCTTGTCTGTTCAGCCAGCTATGACATTGCTAGATTAAAGCTTGGCGTGTTGACAGCAGACACTATATGCTACTAGAACGATGGCCAGGTGGGTGTAACACCACCCTGTTCTGGATTTATGACTATAGTCATCTATATGAGTTTGATGACTAGCGGACCAGAATATCGACCGTGATATTGTTTATGATAACGGGTTTTCAGTGACAATCAAAATGATAACGACAAGGGCCGCGGAGCGACAGCGCTCATCTAACGTCTACTGCGGTGACTCTGTGGTGGAGTGATGGAATTCTAGTAAACCCTGTTAGTCCCAAATGTGTTCACATACACGCCGAAACAGTGGAATGCACAGGGATGGTATCAGGAA